CTCAGGCCGGGGTAGTACTCATCCGGAGGGTGCTCAGGCCGGGGCTAGTACTTGAGCAACCAGCGCGGCCTGTGGGAGCTCAGTGATGTGAAGTAGGACCACCACCAGGGCTTACTCCCACCGGCCGAGGGCTGCCTGCGAGCCCGGAGCGGGTCGGGGTTGGGCTCCATGCCCTCGCCCAAAGGGCTGGCACCTCCCAGCGGGTCATGGGGCCCAGTCCTCCGAAGCCCAGGAAGAAAGTTCTTGGGTCCCACCCCCAGAGGCTGCAGAATGAAGTCCACGCGGCCAGCCCTCTTCATCCGGGCGGGGATGATGACTTTCTTGATGACCCTGGCATAGCCAGGGGCTTGGGCGATGACAATGTGGGTACCAGGGGGCAGCAGTCTCCAGTAGTCGCCATCTGGGGCTGTGGAAAAACAGATGAAAAATGATTCTCAGCGGGGCCGCGGACCCAGCCACAGGGTGATGGGTGGTGAATGGGAGTGGGGAGAGGGCAGCATGGAAGCCAGATGCCAAGTGTGCATGTGCCTCTGCATGGGCCTGGAATGTCCTTCCCACCTCTTTTCTCTGTCAAACTCTTATTCATCCCTCAAAACCCTGCTTAGGCACCCCCTCATCTCTGAAGCCTTCCATGACCACTCCCATCCCCCATGCCCAACCCATAGTCAGCAGAAGTCCCCTGGTCTCTTCTGGACCGTGCCTCTGCAGGTAGCACACATCACAGCATAGTGTCATTTTTCATCGTCTGTGAAATCCCTGTAAGGGGGACCAGAGCCCACACGGGGCTGGACACCCCAGCTTCTTATCAGTGGGGTATGAACTTTGGGATAGAAACAAACAGGCTTATGGATGGACGTGGCTCTCCCCAGCAATCTTGGAGAAGGAGGCATTTTCCTGGGAATACAGAGCATGCATCCACGGTCACTCAGCAGCCATGGCCGGGCAAGCTCTTCCCCTCCAAACGCCGCAAGAGACGCAGCCTGCAGCCAACGCAGACCCCGGCTCCTGCCCACCCTCCCCGACCCAGCCAGCCTGGGGAGGAGAGGAGCCGTCCTGCTGAACACGGGGCACATGTGAGTGACTGAGGGCACCGGCTGCCACTGTGGTGTTCCCTTGGCAGACGTGGGCCCCCGGGGAAGCCAGGGATGTACTCACCTGTGGTGATGTCGTGGCGAATGCCTTTGACTAAGATCCGGGCGTTTTTGACTGGCTTGCCGTATTTGTCCGTCACCACGCCTTTGATACCCCGGTGCACCTGCAGAGACCAGGGAGAGGCCCCGGAGATGGCGCGAGACCTCCCCACGAGCATGAAGGCCAGCCCGCCTGTTCCCTACCCGCTCCTCAGAGCTCCAGGTCTCAGGGGAACCGCCACATGTAGCCCCAGTGTGCCAGCCCTCCCTCCCCCATCTTTAACAAGCCAGTCAGTCCCCTCTCTGGGCCTCAGTTTCCTCTCGGGCAATGGACCGGAGCATGTCCCAGGCTTTCAAATGCCCCTGCCTCTTATCCATCTGCACGGGCACTGAGCAGAGAACCCGTTCCTGCCACTCTTCCGACTCGGTGGCTCTCCCTCCCTGCCTTCGCAGCCACAGCCGGGCTCGCTGGTTCTCTCCGAGCTGAGGCTCCCAGCGGCAACGTGGGCGTTGAAGAGGACGAGGACTGGGTGCCTGCACCCTGGCTACAGCAGCACGGATTCTGTACACGAGGATAATGCGCCCTACCTTGGTTCTGCTCGCCTGGCCTTGGCACAAACTGGCCCTGAGCACACAGCTCACTGCACACCCAGGTTCCAGCTTTTTCACCCAAAAAAGCCCTCCCAAGAGCTGCCTGATCCTGTCCACATTTCTTATAAAACAACGGATGACAAATCACCCCCACGACTCCTGCTCTGGTCAGCAGAACACAGCGTGGGTGCAAGGATGCCGAAGGTCACGCCACCGAGCGGCACCAGGATGCCTGTGGGAAGGGTGGGGCCAGCGAGGCGGCCCCTGCCCGGCCCCGCCCGGGGATCTGCAGCGACAGGTCCTCCAGGGAAAGGGCTCCCACCAGGCCTGCCGTGCCTCCAGAGACCATGCAAATGACCTCGCTCCTCTTCAAATCACAGGATCAAAGCAAAACTTTTAGGATGGAGAGACTGTTTTCCTATATATTCATCTTCATGCCGACAGTTGTATAAGTATCATTTCCTTCCCTGGCCAAGGGACGTGAGCCCGAGAGAGCTGGCTTTGCTCTGGGCCAGAGAACGAGCTCTGCCCCAGTGATCCTCACCTCAGACAAACCTCTGCTTCTGGGCGCCTCAGTTTCCTCAGCTATACAATGTACATGAGGCCGAGGCAGCTGTGGCTTCTGCAGGACCCACGATTTTAGCAAGAACGTGAGTTCTAATCCCTCTGTGGCTGACCCCATCGTCACCAATGTGGAAACCAACTCCCCGACACACGCAGTTAGCAAGCTTAGGCCCCGCGGCTCCAGACAGCTGCTCCACGCTCACGCCCAGCATTTGGTGGCACAGGTAACTGGAAGAGGAGCTGGGCACCCGTCTAGCTCCACAAAGCAGATGCTAGTGCTTATCTCTGTGCCATGCTGCCTCCAGTGCTGAAGGAGATTCAGGACGCCGGAGTATGTGGGATCTGTGATGAGCACATCACGGGGTCCCAGCCCTCCTGATGAGGTGGAGAGGGAGAGATGGCTGGTGCCCACTGCCCTCTGGGGCTCTGACCACCACCTGGATGCTCTTGTCCACACTTCATGGCTTAACGGAATTGTGCTCCGTTAAAACAATGGCCTGTGGACTTACATTTAGGGGGAGGGAGTCAGAGCTTTAAAAGTAAGGCTTTCAGCCGGGCACAGGGGTCTGTCATCCCAGCTCTTTGGGAGGCCAAGGCGGGTGGACCACAAGGTCAGGAATTCAAGACCAGCCTGGCCAATATGGTGAAACCCCATCTCTACTAAAAATACCAAAATTAGCTGGGCATGATGGCATGTGCCTGTAATCCCAGCTACTTGGGAGGCTGAGGCAGGAGAATCACTAGAATCCAGGAGGCAGAGGGTGCAGTGAGCTGAGATTGCACCACTGCACTCCAGCCTGGGAGAAGGAGCAAGACCCCGTCTCAAAAAAAAAAAAAAAAAAAAAAAAAAAAGTAAGGCTTTCCTGCATGCGAGGTGATGGAGAAACCGGATGGCTTCAGAAGCCAGCCTGTGGCTCCTCCTCACCCCCAGATGGCACCCAAGCCCTCTCTGCTTAGAATACCCTCACCAGCCCCTCACTGGGAAAATTCCTTCTCTCCCTTCAAGACACAGCTCACAATCCTCCTCCTCCAGGAAGCTCTCCCTGATGACCAGCCATGCTGGGTACCACAGCCCCAAGCTTCCTCTCTGCCAGCTGCTCTCACTTCTGCCTCCCCCAGCCCCACTTGGGGGCTCTCCCAGGACGGTCTCTTACAGATGGCCCTCACTCAACATCAGCCTGCAGTGGATGGATTTGTTCTGGGCCTGAGGGTCACCTTCATGAAGGCCGGGGCACATGGGGTTCTCTGGCAGGGATGGAGAGCTGCCATGCCACCCCTCCCCTCGCCCGGGTGATACAGACTCCCACCCGAGGTCTGGCCAGGATCACTAGGAAAAAGGCCTCAATTGGCCACGACAGGCTTGATCCTTATCAGGAGGCCGCGCCCGGCTCTCCTCCAAGACGTCTGTCTTGAGAGCCGGCCAGTGAGCCGCCCAGCCTTCCAAGGTCCGCGCTCGCTGTAAATCTTCATATCCCAAGACTTCACGTGTAATAGCCAGGAGCGATGCCAGCCGCATTCAAGGCTCCTTCAACCTCTTGTTCACCAGACAGCCGCAAAATGCCAGGTGCACAGGCCTGGCTCGAGACCTCCTGGAAGAATGAGACGGTGCAGGTGGCGGGCCTGCGGCACGGCCGTCAGAAGGAAACTCCAGCAGCCGAATGTTCCATTATTACTTTGGGGCTCTGTTTCTTTCCTACCTCAGTGGCTGCTGCTCTAGAGAGTTCGCTTGATTCTTACCTGGAGGAAGGTTCCTGATTTTTCTAGAAAGGAGGGCGCTCATGGACAGATAGCTTCAGAACAAGCAGATCTGGGCAACACCAGACAGGCCATGTCACTCTCTAACCCTCTGTCTCCTCCCCCGGCTGTCTCACAGACCCTGGGAGCCCAGAGCACGAGCCCGTGTGTGGCCTGGAGACCCCAGGCCAGCCGCAAGCATCCCCTCAGCTCCATCTATAAAATGGGGTGCCCTGTCTACCACCCGGCCCGGTGTCAGGATGGGGTGCCCTGCGTGGGTGGGCGCCAACCGTACGGTGCTGTGGGTGCTGTGCCCTCAGCCCTCCTTGCTACCACGGCACGCTCCTTCCGAGGCCCGCGTCTCACTGGGCATCTGTACTCATATGCAATTTGCATGATTCTTGAAAATGCTTGGGAAAAAAATAGCAGAAGCTTCTTCAGAAACCAGGCTCTTCCATGTGACATCCCGGGCCCTCCTTGGGGTCCTCAGCACCCTCTGTGTGAGCCATGCTGGGAGGGGAGCAGACATGGGCACAGAGTCTCCACGCTGACACTGAGTGCTGGAGAGACCTTGGATCTCTGGGGTGGCAAGGGGGTCATTTTAGACACATTCTCAGTCATTCCCACTCACCTCCCACTTCAGTCAGGCCACCCTACCCCCCCCACCCAGTCCCTGCCAGCCACTTCCTGCCTGTGCCCTCCCCTCTGAGGCCCCAAAGCCCTGCCTGAGCCACACAGCTGCCCCGCTGCCCAGAGCCCTCCCTCCCACGCCTCCGGGAGCACAGCACCCTCACATCCCACGGCTTGAGTCCTCACCACAGCCTCAGTGCCTCTCAAGGGTCTCAAAGGCCCCATGGGGTTCTAGCATGCTCCCCTCTGCTGGGATCTCTCTCCGTCCTGTGGTTTAATTTCTCCTACCCTTCTTCAAGATGAAGCCCAGTGGCCGCCTCCTCCAGGAAGCCCCCCAGCCTCCAGGCTGGGTGTGTTGCCTCGCCAGGCTGCGCAGGCCCTGTGCTCCCTTGCGTAATTGTGCTGCTTTAGGCCATGACTTCCTTGCTCACAGGGACTCCGACACACGGCCTGGCCACCCCGGCCCCCCACAGGGCACGCAGAGGAGAGCCGGCTGCTGCATCTCACGTCGTGTGTGGATGGACAGTTAACCCCAAAACAAGTGGCAGTGAGAGGAGTGAGTGTGTATGACGCAGCAGGCTGCAGGGGCCGCCCTGGGGGCCCGCATCCGACGCTGCCCTCCCAGGCCCCGCTGGGCTGGAGCCCCGAGCCCCTCTGAGAACTCACTGTCTCCACGAAATTCAGCAGCGACTCCTTGTTGTGCTGCCAGATCGTGTACAGGGCCTCCTCGGGGGGGAACTTCACGCAGCCCAGCTCCACCGTGATCTCGAAGCAGTTGGTGTACAGGTAGTTGAAGTCGGACATGCCTGCGGTAGAGACGACCAGGGCGTCAGGGGTGCCAGCCGAGCGCCCAGCGGGCAGGCGAGCGCAGCGGGTGCTCAGCAACACCTCCTAGGGCTGAGGGGCTGAGCCATGGTGAGGTGGGCGGGACGATCCCCACTTCACAGACGTGCAGATGGAGGCATGAGGCAGGTAAGGGTCCTACCCCGGGAGAGGGCAGAGCTGCGTCTTGAGCCCACGTGGCTTGCGGCAAAGTCCACAGGCTTCCCCACCCCCTTGCTGTCTCTGGTGAGGTAAGGAATGAATCAGTTTCTAATGGAAAGGCTCGCAGCACGGGGCAGCCACACAGGCCCCTGGCATCCCAGCTTCTGGCCCATGGTGACAACGTCCATTACTCAGATAATGCCCTGACGAAAGCCTAGGAAGGTCCTATTAGCTCCATGTCCCAGGGAGACCACGGGTCCTGGCTAGGGACAACCAGCCACCTGGCCAGCCGAGAGGGCCTCGGAGCAAGATGAGCCGACCCTGCCCACACCCACTTCTGCCCTCTGTGCCATCTGCTCTTGGAGTTTCTTGCTCAGCAGAAGCCATGACCATCTCCAAGGCAGGCCTGGGGTGACAGCATCCATAGGGCTGGCTGTGTTGAGGGTCACAAGGAGCCCATGGCCTTCCAAAGTTCAGAGCTCCTGAGCCGCAGAGCCTGCAGCTGCTGACCGTCCCTGCCCAGACCCCAGTGAGGCCATAGTCCCCATCCCTCTAGTCTCTCCCGGCCCCACCCCACCCAGTATCCTCACCCTCCCGGCCCCACCCCACCCAGCCTCCGCAACCCCCCCTACCCTAGCCCCTCCCCGCAGGGACCGCACCTCCCGTGAAGCTGTACCAGTCCGCCCCGTTGATGATGCTTCCCCTCTTCAGGAAGTTGCCTCCACACCTGTTTTCTGACCTGTCCATCATCATGGGGTGGACCTCGGCGTAGGCTCTGGACAGCAGCTTGAACATCTGGAAAAGAGACATGGCTCAGGTCAGGAAAGCGTCCCCTGCAGGATGCCCTGAGAGCTGGGGTCAACAAGGGGAGGATGCCCTGAGAGCTGGGGTCCGGTGCAAACACCTGCAGTGCAGGGGGGAGAGGGGAGCGGCGTCTGCAGGGGGAGAGGGGAACGGCGTCTGCAGGGGGGAGAGGGGAACGGTGTCTGCAGGGCGGAGAGGGGAAGACCGGAGGTGGGTCACAGTCAGTCTGGAGGCCAGGTTCGTGGGCACCTGGGGTGATCACCGAGCCCCTGCACCCGGCCAGGAGTATGGGCTTTCTCTCCTGAGGGCGCACACTGACGTGGTGTCTGCAGGGTGCACGTGGGTTGGCTGGGCAGTTTATAAAGCTGGGGCTGTTGGGACAATGAAGGCAGGGGCAGGCTGCATTCTTACTGACTTCCTCTCCAAAGCCAACTTCTTCTGTGAATAATCACCGCTTCATTCCCCACCTGAGCACCATCAGAGGCTGGGACTCAGCCTACAGGAAGCCCCTCCCTGACCGCCCCACCTTCCAGCTTCCACTGCAGTTGACAGAGTGACAGGCCACAGCCCCCGGGACATGCCACCCCTGGCACGTTTGGATGTGTGGCTGGGATCGTAGGCCCCTCCTCACAGGCCTCCCTCCCTCCCCAGCTCAGAGCTTCCCCCATTGCGCCCATCCCCCAGGCAGAGTCCACAGGTCCTCCTTTGTGGGGGTTCTTGGCCATCTGTAAGTCCCAGGCTGACCCTGGATGGTCTCTAGGGCTAAGGCATGGAAGGTGGCTGCCGACCACCAATCCCCAAAATCCTGGGGTGCAGGCGCCCAGGCCTGGCTCAGACAGGCCTGACCTGGGAGGGCAGGTGCAGGACAAGGATGTCAGAGGAGCTGTCGGTCCAGAGGCCAGGTGCACGTGGGCAAGGGAGAGACACAGATAAATGAAACCAGGCAGGAGCAGGGAAGCTGGACTGAATAGGGACCCAGGAACACAGGCTGAGGACTGTGGGAAACCCAGCCTTCCCAGCTCCTGCCCCAGGACTGGCTATGCTGATTCCCACAGCGAGTGTGGGCAGAGCCAGAGCATGAGCAGCATTTGGGCAGAGGGGCAGATATGGAGGGGCGAGGGGCGGCCGTGGCCAGCCTGCAGGGCCTTGAACACTGCCCCCAGGTGCTGGTTCTCATCTGTAGGGCACCATGGAAGTTTGGGGAAAGGGGACCTTGGCACACCCCAGCCAGCCCACCCCTCTCATGCTCCCCCACCAACCCCAGGCCCCTCCTGGGTCTCTGGTTTCCAGAGATCACTGCCGGCCACCGGGCTGCACCATCACAGCCTAATGGTTGATGGCTTGGGAACAATCTCCTTTTCTCTGGCTCTGATGGGTGACCCAGGGTGAACATCCCCCCGGGACATCTCACAGCTGGCTCTGAGGCTGAGACACACTGGGCCTATGCAGAGGTGGACACCTGCCCTGCCCAGCCACCATTGCCCCCAAGAGTACAGGGGCGCAAGGCCAGGCCAGCAGTGAAGGCCACCCAGTCACCCCTGCAGGCACTTACAAAGGTCTGAGCAGAGAACCAGACACCTCACTCCCTTGCACCCTTAGTGTGTACTGCCTGCAAGAGTCAATGAATGAATGAGGGAGGTAAGGAGGGAGTGTGGGAGTAAATGAGTGAAAGAATAAGAGAG